AGCAGGCTTTATCTAAATGTCTTCCATGAACATACCACCTGTTCAAGATGACCCTTATTTGTTGCTTTTCCAGTTGCTATCTTTTTATAGGGGATCAATATTACTTTTGATTCAATTTTTGCAGGGACAATTTGCTTCAGCTGTTATTAACAGTTCATTTGGCTCAAAGATTTTTTTGTCTCCGGTTAGCTGAAATTTTAGGACACATACTACATGTTTATTTTATTCTGATCTTGTAGTCTGGATTTGCATGGATAGCTATATTACAAGTGCATAATGCAAGTGTTATGCTTAAGCTATTTTGTACAAATCATGGTTTCATTATAGTTATAGCTGTTCTAGAGGCCTGGGAAATGGTGTGCTTTGAATACCTTCTCATAAGGAATGAGGTTATATCATTTCCAACTACTGCTGCTGCCGCTGTTAGTACTTTAATATTTGAATCACTTTCTGATTTTTGAGTATGAAGGAAATGTTCCACTGACTCATTGCAGCAGTTTTGTGTGTGTGTTCGCTTTCCCCTGTATATTGACTTCCAGAGGTCACATTTTCAAGGGTTTGCTCAGATAGACACTTATTAAGTTTCAGCACTGCTGCTACATCAGATGCTTCCAGCACTAAAGACTTTGTTACAGGTTCTCATGAGCAATGTGTAACTATCCAGTATGGTCAAATCCTTGGCTTACTTTTTTTTAACAGGGAATGAAAGGGTTCCAAACTATTTGCCCTGATGAATTTATTCATACAGTAAGTCAAGAATGTTCTGATGCATTTGATGGTTGGTTGTTCATGTTGCCTCTGACTTAAGGGTCAGAACCTCAAACAGATATCATTTCTTTCTAACCATATTGACTAAGAGCAGATAATTACTCTCGACAGCTAGAACAACTGTAGTTAGGAACCACAAAAAAGATGTTCAAGTCATGCTCCTCTGCTGGGCCGTCCAATGCTCTGTGCAGAGACTGAATTCTCTGTTCTACAGTAATAAGGACTAGCGTATAACTCATAATTCATTTATTTGAAATATGAATTATCGGACAAGTTTCAACGGAAACCAACTTACTGCAAAGCGTACTTGTGTTTCTGAAGGAAATAGTCAGAATCGGACTGAATAGGCATTATGTGCTCTACAGAATCACACTTAGAGGCTGTGCTAACCAGAGAGCAATGTGTTATTGGATAAACAGATTCTCACGTTAATCTGTATATTTTAGAAAGTTGGTTGTTTGCCTGCTTGCTATGCATTTGGATACATCTTAAGATATTGTAATTGAATTTTGCATGATCGTTCCTGAAATCAAGTAGCAGGTGGTTTCTTTGGGTCTATTTTGGATACATTTTGGTGCCTTTTTGAGCACGATGAGGAACTGAACATTTAAAAATGCTGGGTATGAGACTCCTAGTATACTGTAACTTAATGCTGCGTTATTTGTGATTCACCAGTTTGAACATAGACCACTAAATGTATTAGTTTTGCTATGTCCTGATGGTTATTGGCTTGTAGTAACGTGGAGGTGCATCATTTACTTCTCTTTTTGTCTTCCAAATCTTTGTCGATGTTTACGGCTTTTTACCTTAGTATTCATCTAAAATGTTGCATCCAGTGCTAGACCACAACATTTGAAAATGTCCTGTCGTTTCAGTGAAACAACTTCTCTGTAATGTTCTCACTAGACTTTAAGCCTATTGAAATCACTGGGCTTAACACTGCATTGGGTTGCAGCCAATGTGTTTTTCATTGTATCATGTGTCTTCTGGAAGATGTTTATGTATTCTCATGGAGTTGGGAGACCAGTGATCTTAGATACGGTTATGGTTCTGAAAACAAAACACATAAAACTAGAGAGAAAATCAAGCTTTTTTTCCCCTCTATCCCAAAATGAGAGAAAGGAGTTGAATACTTTTCTTTCTCCCATTTTCTTTCTATAGCTTTGGAATCCTGTTTTGTGCACAAGCCAAGATTTTGTGGTTTTTGGCAAGCTGCTCATACCTTGTTCCCCTTGGGTGTTTATAAGTACATCTCAGTATAGGTTACATTTAGATGGAATAAGCATGAAGTATAAAGGACCCTCTGAAAAAGATATTTGCGGTGCTAAGACATTTCTTGACAAGGGAGGAGGTAGGGAGGAGGGATTCAAGCACAGTATCACATTTTCATGTTGTTATTTCTTTGTCCCATAATGACATGAATGCATTGATTTAAGCTAGCGTATTAGACTTCATCATTTTGTGAGGCCCATTTACCTTGCGGTTTCCTTCAGTTCATTTGCAAGGCATCATTAGCCTGGAATTAGTAGGAAACGGAATTGCATGTGGCTTGTATGAGTTATTGGATTGTTCAGTTACCTTAAACCACAAACTAGCTTGTGGGATATAATATACAGAGGCAACCGAGATTCAATTTAATAGAAAGATTAAACGAAATAATCCTTTATATCTGAATTTCCTCTAACCTGAAAGTCTGCTTTCCCCTAGAGACCTTTAAATTGTTTCTTGTAGTTTGGCATCTGTGCCGCGCCCAAACTGGATTGCAGATGTTCAAATGTTAACATTTCTACTGTAAACCACCTAAGCATACAGACTTGGAAGTAAATCCTCTAGAAATCAATGGGATTTACTCCCGTGTACCTAAGCACAGTTAAGATCAGGCTTTGAGAAATACAGTGCCCACTATTTCCTCGGGGCACATTTGGGCTAGAGAAGGGCTAAGAAGATGGAAAACAAATGAAATCACACAACCTTGGTGTCAAATTGCTTTCCACAGACATAGTAAACACCTGGTTCTGAAAAGCATATTGTGTCTCATTTTGTGAGACTCCTGTGGTTTCCTCCAGTTGTTTTGTAAGAAATCATTAGCCTTGAATTAGTAGGAAACTGAACTGTATGCGACCACTTCAGATGTAAAGGCAGCCAGAGACTCACATGACCATATGGTCTTCCTTATATATGAAATTCCTCTACATAGAATGCAAGTAAGCCAGGAATAGAACCTAGACTGGAACTCTTCATGACACCTAGTTTTCCATATGAGTTAAAATTTGTTTTTTGATGGGGAGGAGCATCCTGTTGTGCGAGCCTTCATCTAAAACAGGAAGTGGTGCAGCTTGAAAATAGGTTTGTTAGGTAGGTAAGAACTAGGTCATGGTATTAGTCAGTGGTGGCAAATGTTTTTGGTCAGAATGTCATGTCAGATCTAAAGCATGAGGCGGTTACCCGGTTCATGCATCACAGTAAATTGTGGATCATGGTGATCCACAGTGCTGAAATCACAGTTGCTCTGCTCCCCCCCCCCCTCCTGCTGCCCCCATGCTGCCAGTGAATAAGCCATGATGTGGCTTGTTGTGTTGTCTGAACTCCTGGCTAATGGTTAGCTTTCCTTCAAACAAACCTCAAGTGGTAACCAAGGTTAGTTCTCAACTTACTGATCATGGTTTGGTGGGGGAAAACGAATCACTAGAACAAGTTTGGATGCTACAAAAAGCAAGATTATGGCTTGTTTGTTGCCAATGTAATAGCAGGAGCAGGAGAGGAGCAAAGTGCCTGTGATTTCAGCTGTGTGCACCAGCACTCTGTTCATTCACATTGATCTCTGCTTCAACATGATGTGTGGACCAGGACATAGCCAGTCTAGCATGTACAACATTTCATTTGAAGGTCTGCATTTGGTTTTGACTGCAGTTCTTTCTACTGATAAGGCACAAATCTGAGCATGAAAACAGCACAACTTGTGTATAGACCTGATTACAGTGTTAGCATGTGTCCTCCTTTACACTTGTATATTGCTACACAAGTACACCCAAGGAACAGGTGTTGCGGTTTTAAATTAGAACCATGGTACACCATGGCAAAACAGGTATTTCAGAGAAAACGAGTAAGTAACTGATGGTTGCAGTTAATTGTTTCCTGCAGTTGTGTGGGAGTAGTGATAGGGCAGAAAAACACACCCCTCCGTAGTTCCCTGCCTGTCATAGTTTGCGAGCCTTTAGCTAGTTAAAATTTAAAACAGGATATGATTCTTAGTTAGGCACTTCATAATACGTAACATCACATGTCAATATTTCTTCAGGAGTGTTTTGATGGTTCGTGTTTGGGAATTACCTTTGTGAAGAAATCAAGGGAAGGCTTTCTGTACACCGCTCCCTTTTGTAGTTTAGAAGCTCAGATTTAAGACTAGTTTTTCATTAGCAAAAGCCATTTAAAACAAAAAAACCCTGTTGATACCCACCCCCCTTAAATGAACTTGAAGTGCTTGAACACTTTCAAAAATCACATCAAAAGACATATAGGCCAAGATCCAGAGAACTGAGAAAACAAGACCATGCTTCTCTGCACATAGTTGCACATACCCAAAGAAATTGTGTTAACATGAAATGAATATATTGTGGCACACCACCCAAACTCCGAGTGGTGTGAGATTCTAGGCCTTTGCCCAGGGTTCAGTTTCCTCGGATTGAGGGACAGCAGGGACTGTGGTGTTTTTAGGATATATAGTTTATTTACATATATATACAGTCAGGACCTATGATGAAGGGGCTCCCAGCATTAACACCCCAATCGAATCCCCGCGATGGAGTGAGCTCCCATTGATCGGTCCCTGCTCCTGCCAACCTAGCAGTTCGAAAGCATGCCAGTGCAAGTAGATAAATAGGTACCGCTCTGGTGGGAAGGTAAACAATGTTTCCGTGCGCTGCTCTGGTTTCTCCAGAAGCGGCTTAGTCATGCTGGCCACATGACCTGGAAGCTGTACGCCGGCTCCCTCGGCCAATAAAGCGAGATGAGCGCCGCAACCCCAGAGTTGGTCACGACTGGACCTAATGGTCAGGGGTCCCTTTACCTTTAGGGTCTTGCTACTCCCATAGCCAACAGCCTTGCATTCCGATGGAAATCAGGCATGGCTATGTCTGTCCCAGTTGCCCAGCCTGCAGTCTTGCTTCTATCTTTTAGCTCACACACACCACTCCCAACTCTGGCCTTCCCACCACCACTACCAAGAAGTTGAGGGAGGGGACCCCACCCATTTTCTGCATGGCATGGAGCCATGTCCTTTGTTACCTTCATGATCCATACATAGAGGGCCATTACCAAGAAACTCGTCTGACTTTTTCAACAATTTGAATCCTTGCTTAGATTTGAATACTTGCTGTATTCAGAGATTAGAAGGGCCTGAGGCATATAGCCTACTGCCCCCACCCCCCACTCCACAACTCATAACAAGATTTTATTCTTCATTATATTTGTATCTTTCCCTTCCTCCAGCATCTTCAAGGTATTGTACAAGGCAAGGTAATTTGCACATATGGAGCAGATTTTTTTTTTTTTAAATTAACCTCATACAACATTCCTTGCAAGCTGCTTTCACAGGTGGAAGGTTATTTTTGAGTGTAAAATAGCTTCTCTGGAGGAGGGCCATTTTGACACTATCTCCAAAGAACCATTTCAAGGCAAGGCCAAATCAATAGCAAGCCAACTAGGAGAGTTTGACTAAAGACACAGCTTGACCTCAGTAATCCAAAACCCAAATTATAGGGTCTAATCATAGCAATAGTCTTTCCTGTCATGTATCTCTGGAATTAAACAAAGGTATCACTAAGTAGAATCTTCGCATACTGTTCTCACGTTTAATTCAGTACTATATACCATAAGGGATAAGTCTCAAGTCAGATGTAATCTGATAAAAGGGGGAAATGAGATCTGTTTGAATACCATATATTTTTTTTGCAGAAGGATCAAGGATGTTCCCTTGTTCTTGTTTTTAGAGCAAATGGTGTTGAAGGCTTGAGATAAATACACAAAGCTAATTATGTTTCCCAAACTTACACTATAATTCTTGTCTTGTCAGAAGAATTGTCTGCATATATAAAAGGGACTGGAAAAGAGCATATCCCCACAGTATTTTCATTATTTCTGGCTCTACACATTTAGCTTGCAGCAGTGATATTTTTTTTAGCCAGTATGTCCATCCATGAGAAACTTGACTTAAATGACAGTGTCTGCTCCTTTCATCATTGTACAGCATTTACCCTAGTTGGCCCATACATTTCTGCAGAGTTTCTACAGAGTAGTGAATCTCAGTCAGCCATAATTCATCAACTGTGGAAAATAGTTTTGCTTGCCTATCTTCTGTGGGACAACCAGTGTCATATAACAAAAACACTTGTCTAATTAACACATGAAGGGGTTAAGACCATAGAGTCACCTGTCTTGCCAGGCTTAGCTGGGTCACTCCCCCTCACCTTGAGAGGAAGGTAATCAAGCCTATTGTTCTCTTCCCAGTCTACATGAGAAGCTCAGCATGTAAAGAGGTCTGAGCTGGTTCCTCCAAGCTCAGACCACATGGCCCTAACAAGCCATTCTTGTGTTTATATAACAATAAGTAAGTAGCTTTCACCACTGTAACTAAGCCAGGTTTTACTGCCTATGTTTTCTGACTGATGTATGGAAAAGCACACGGACCTGACCTCTTAAACATTATTTTAACATTTCTTATGTACCTGGGAGTAGTTCCTCAAGCCTTCACTTACAAGGTCCTTTGAACAAGAAGGTTACTTCTGCTTCCCACTCACCACCACAATATCTGTTAGATTTGTCCATAGCTGGGTCAGGTGGGGTGGGAAGAACAGGAGAAGTCACTTGCCCACAGAAAGAAGGAAGGAAAACAACAAGGGAACATATGATATAACATAAAACAACAAGGGAACATATAAGGTTGACTTACACCAGGTGAAACTATTGGCCCATGTAGCCCGGTACAGTCTAATTGACTGACAACAGCTCTACACTGCCTCAGGTAGAGTACTCTACTAGCACTGAGATCCTTAAAAACTGTGGAGCTACCACTGAGCTGTGGCGGCTTTCTTCCTCCAATAAAAACATTATTACTGTGAGGATGAGTAGGAAACGGCTATAGTGTCTCTTAGCATAGGCTAAGGGAAGGTTGAATGGAGACACTTCCTCCACAGTGTCTTTCAGACATAGTGGCTTTCAGAATTAGTAGCCACTACAGAGGCCTGGAGGCTTCTATAGATGTGGTGTCTTATTAAGAGGCTTACATGAGAATTAGAGATGGGGGGTCTGTGGCCCTTCAAATATTGCTGGAGTCCATCTCCCATTAGCTCCAGCCACATAGGTGCTAACTCCCTGGGGTCCTGAGTGCCCCAGCATCCATGAGGGGGCTGGGCACCCACAAATTTTGATACCTGGGGCCATGCACACTGTATGGCACCCATGGCCCTGGGCACCCACCGTTACAGGGCCAAGCTGGCACTCCTGTCCAGCCAGCAAGGCTAGTGATCAGGGATGATGGTAGTTGTAGTAGTACAACATCACCTGGGGGACAACATGTTTTCCCACCCTTGATCTGAAGCAGTCCTAAAAGTATGGAGTATTTATCAAACCATTTTGATAAATAAAGACTTTGTCCTGTATACTGAGCCCTTTGCCGTTTGTAAAGCTGGCAAGAATCCTGTTAATGTTATTTCTTGAGCCAAATCCCTGGGCACATCAAGCTGAGGTTTGAACTTTGTGCCTCAGGGCCCTCTCCACCAGTTATGCATGATTATGCAGGTCTATTCTCCAAGGGTTTTGCTGAGGTACAATAGAATATATCAACTTTAGAGCTTATTTTATTATTCTGTTAAAGTCTTAATGAATATTTCCTTCTAAAGCATGTGCCTAAACAGTAATTCTTTTTTCTCAGTAAAAATAATATTACATTAATTCTTGCCATGGGAATATGTTAGCGAACATGTTTGCTGTAGGTAATCCAGTTATGGATACGAATTTCTGGACAAGTAGCAGCACATGGCACAGAAAAGGTCAAAATCATTTGAGGTATAAAAGTTGTGTTTAACTGAGCAATGCAGAAATGAGATTCATTACTTGCAATTAATCCTCAAGGTTCCTGAATGTCAACTTACAAAGGCAGCAGTAGATGCGGTTCATGGGAGGTAATTAATATTTGTTATTGCACTCTTTTTAAAAGACTGCAGTTGAAAGGACTAGCCTGTGTCTGTTTACGACCAAGGCAATTTATTTTTGTGATAGTATTCTCTACAAAGCCATAAAAAACATTTTCCTGATAAAGGTGCCTACAGTTTGGTAGCAATTATGGTCTCCCTTTGTTGTTTTCTTATGATTAGTACATGCTTTTTTAATTAAATGGTATTAATTCATAAATATAAATCAACATATATACCAGGTCAGGGCAAAACCTGGCAGATCAGATTGGAGCATGGAGGATATTGAGTTAAAACAAATGTCAAAATCTCTGTCAGGCCAGAAATGAAGCTTGTTGGCTTTTCAGACCTTGATAGCTAGGTGCCCACTGCAAAGCATTTTTATTGTTGCAGGTAGTAAAATATAATGGTTGATCAGCCACTACAATAGCTATGTCTCTGACTAAGAAAAGGCCCAGTGCATATAGAATATCTGGGGCAAATTCTTAAAGTTGTGTGTATGTGCATGTCAGTTATTCAGACTAAAAAACATAAAATAGTTAAGGAGTACCCTATCAGTGTTGCTATTTTTGTCGTCATTAGGTTCATATTAGCAACATGATGTGGTGATAGTTTAAGTTAGTGTAGCTCTGAATCCAAAGCTTCCTCATGCAACTGGAAATGCACTTCCATTCACACAAGTAAAGGTAAAGGACCCCTGACAGTTAAGTCCAGTTGCAGACGACTCTGGGGTTGCGGCGCTCATCTCGCTTTACAGGCCGAGGGAGCCGACGTTTGTCCGCAGACAGTTTTTCCGGGTCATGTGGCCAGCATGACTAAGCCGCTTCTGGCGCAACGGAACACCGAAACCAGAGCAGCACACAGACACACCATTTACCTTCCCGCCAGAGCAGTACCTATTTGTCTACTTGCATTTTTGGCGTGCTTTCGAACTGCTAGGTTGGCAGGAGCAGGGACTGAGCAACGGGAGCTCACCCCGTCGTGGGGATTTGAACCGCCGACCTTCTGATCGGCAAGCCCAAGAGGCTCAGTGGTTTAGACCACAGCGCCAAAGCAGTCCCCAATTCTCTCCTCCTGCTGAAGCTTTCCATGTCACATTCCACTCTGTTCTGGATGGTTTAATTTGGGAGTGGAGAGTCTGTAGGAAGGTGGAGGGGATAGGAAAGTTCTGCTGCATGGGTGTTCACTCGTGCATCTTTGGATCCAAGCCACTGAATTCATATCTGAAAGAAAAAGGGGAAAAGCGAGTTCTGTACAGTGCCGTCTCATTCCCCAGTTCTTCTTGTTGTTTGGGAGGCCTGATTGGTAGAGCACATGGTTTGCATTCGGTAAGCCCCTGGTTAATTTCTGTTTGAAAGTGTCTCAGCCAGTTGCAGGGCTAGCGGAGGCCAGTGCCTGAGATCTTAGAAAGGCGTTGCTAGCCTGAACAGTTGCGCAACGGACTAGGTTGACCAATGGTCTGACTCCATATAAGGCAGCTTCATAAGGTCGATTCAGGATGAATAGAAATCTGAGCTGAACTGAAATGATGAGAATTATCAAGACCTTTATTGGGGTGGAGAAAATGGAAAAACCTACCGCCACTGAGGTTTTGTCTCCTCACATTTCCTTTCACACACACACACCATTGGAGCAATTCTGCAGCTGTTTCTCTCTTTCAGATTTATGGCTGCAACATGTGTTAGGGAGGGCAGTTTTAGCTGAGGATGCTGAGACATTATCTTTCAATTTTCTACCTGGTAATCATCCTCCATGTCTTTGTATTCCTGAAAGTGATGCTGTGGCAGTGACTTCCTTTGAAGGTTTCCATGGCCTTTTCTCATTTTCTTAAGTCACGTGAAGGCAAAATGCATAATGAAGAAAGCAGCACTTCATCCAAAAAGCATACTGAGCAGTTAGGGCGAGCATGAAAACACTGAATGAATTTGTCACAGCTAGCAGTGTAAAATGAAAACTCTTGTGGCAACTGTTCTTACCAAATAAGGAACAACTGGGCTGGATAATATTTCTTCACTAAATATGGAAAGAACCCCTCTCCAAACCAACCCTCTCCATATACATATACTGAGATGAGATTTCATAGGAAAGCTGGAAAAAGACTTTGTGGTTAACCTTTTTTAAAAAGGGGGGAGGAATAACCCAGTGGTTTGATGTTTTCCATTATCTTCTAACAAGAGAGAAATAATAAACTTTCTTTAAAAAAAAAAAATCAACATTCAGTGAAGTAAACAAATCTTCTCTTTCGGTGGTACAAAAGCATATGTGGCCTTGTTTGCTATTTAATCTCAGCGAATTCACTGTCAAGTTTTTTTTCCTCCCCCTCCTCATCTTGCTGCAGGGAAATAAGAAGTGGGAAGAATAGAAAAATATAAGAAACAGGAAAGAATAAAGTGATAGGATTAGAGTTGTGTGTCAGCTGGGCAAGAAACTGTTTAGATTTGGTGGGAAGCGTTCTTGCTTGTAGTTGAATCAATTAAAATCATGAGCGCAGTTACTGGCAGAATTTACAACTTTTTATAAACCCCTTTTAAGGGAAGTTACCTTTTAGCCACATTATCAGAAAGAAATGAGTCCTGTCTGTATAGATAAGATTATTTTTACATACTCAGTCATTGTACCTGCTGTACACCTGGACCCTGGTCTGGTTCATATGTTGCTAAAAGGGCAGGCCATTTTTAATTTCATTTAGCATGGAGACTCTTTCTCCTTGCTGCTGTTGCTGCTCTGGTGAGTGCTGGGTGGACCGCTCCCTCTGTCCTTGCCGCTGCTTGCCCACCAGGTTTCTCTTACGCACAGCAACCCAGGTCATGTGGACGGGGAGGGGGGGTTGCAGTGATTTTTAGGAAGTCATTCGTCTGCACCAGGCATCCTATTGGGAAGACCCAGTTTTCTGAGTGCATGTTCTGGAGGTTGGGCAATAGGGGCAGTACAGGATTCCTTTTGGTGTACCGACCTCCCCGCTGCACCAAGGATTCCCTGCCCGAGCTGCTTCAGGTCGTGGCGGACATGCTCCTGGAGACACCTAGCTTGGTTGTCCTGGGGGATTTTAACATCCATGCCGACACGACCTTACAAGGGGCCGCTCAGGACTTCGTGGAAAGCATGGCCTCCATGGGGCTGTCCCTGAATAAGTTTGGCCCAACTCATAGCCGCGGACATGCCTTAGACTTGGTGTTTACCTCTATGGATGTTGGTGATCTGACACTAACTAAAAGCGAAACAAAAGAAGTGCCATGGTCAGATCACTTCCTGGTTCAACTGGACTTCTCCGCAACCCTTCCCCTCTGCAGGCAGGTGGGACCGATTTGGATGGTCTGCCCCCGCCACTTAATGGATCAAATTGGCTTCCAGAGAGTGGTAGGGGATGTTTTATCCCAAGCTGATGGCCTTTCAGCTGATTTCCTGGTGGCACGCTGGAATGCGGAGTTAACCAGGGCTATTGACTGTCTGGCTCCGAAGCGCCCTCTCCGATTGCATGGAGCCCGGACAGCCCCGTGGTTTCCCCCGGAGCTGAGGGCGATGAAACAATCGTTGAGACAGCTAGAAACTAATTGTGAATCAGACCGGACACGGGCTAGAGCTCAACGTCGAGCCTACCAAGTGGCAATGGCGACAGCGAAGAGGGCCTTCTTCGCCGCCTCCATTGCATCTGCAGAAAACAGCAGCAGGAGACTTTTTCAGGTGGTTCGCAGTCTATCAGAACCACCTGTACCATCGGGGCCTGGTAGGGACCCCAAGATCTCCTGCAATGCTTTTGCAAAGTTTTTTGCAGATAAAGTCGCTCAGATTCAGAAGGAGGTAGACTCCACCGTGGGATCAGGGCCAGGGTGGGAGAGTGCTAGAGTTCTGTCTGGTCCTGTTACATGGGATCAATTCCAATCTGTTACCTCCGAGGATGTGGACAGGCTGCTTGGACAAGTGAAACTGACCACCTGTCTCCTTGATCCTTGTCCATCCTGGCTGTTAAAAACGAGCCGGGAAGGGCTGGGCGATGGGCTCTGCGGGGTGGTGAATGCTTCCCTCTGTGCGGGAGCCTTCCCAGACCCGCTGAAAGAGGCGGTCATTAAACCGCTTCTTAAAAAAACATCTTTAGACCCAGCCAATTTGGCCAACTGTCGCCCAGTCTCAAAACTACCATTCTTGGGCAAGGTGATTGAGCGGGTGGTTGCTGAACAACTCCAAGCACGCCTGGAGGATGCGGACCATTTGGATCCCTTCCAATCAGGATTCAGGCCTCACCATGGGACTGAAACTTCCTTGGTCGCGCTGGTTGATGATCTCCGGCGGGCTAGGGACAAAGGTGAGAGCTGTTTCCTAGTTCTGCTGGATCTCTCAGCGGCCTTTGACACCATTGACCATAACATCCTTCTGGACTGTCTAGAGGGGCTGGGAGCTGGGGGCACTGTTATACGGTGGTTCCGCTCCTTCCTCCTGGGCCGTGTCCAGAAAGTGGTGGGGGGGGATGAGTATTCAGACCCTTGGGCTCTCACTTGTGGGGTGCCTCATATCTATATGAAGCCACTGGGAGAGATCATCAGGGGGTTTGGACTGGGTGTTCATCAGTATGCAGATGACACCCAGCGCTACCTCTCCTTTAAATCAGAACCAGTGAAGGTGGTGAAGGTCCTGTGTGAGTGCCTGGAGGCGGTTGGAGGATGGATGGTGGCTAACAGATTGAGGTTGAATCCTGACAAGACAGAAGTACTGTTTTTGGGGTACAGGGAGCGGATGGGTGTGGGGGATTCCCTGGTCCTGAATGGGGTAACTGTGCCCCTGAAGGACCAGGTGCGCAGCCTGGGAGTCATTTTGGACTCACAGCTGTCCATGGAGGCGCAGGTTAATTCTGTGTCCAGGGCAGCTGTCTACCAGCTCCACCTGGTACGCAGGCTAAGACCCTACCTGCCCGCCAACTGTCTCGCCAGAGTGGTGCATGCTCTAGTTATCTCCCGCTTGGACTACTGCAATGCGCTCTACGTGGGGCTACCTTTGAAGGTGACCCAGAAACTGCAATTAATCCAGAATGCGGCAGCTAGACTGGTGACTGGGAGTGGCTGCCAGGACCACATAACACCAGTTCTGAGAGATCTGCATTGGCTCCCAGTACGTTTCCGAGCACGATTCAAAGTGTTGGTGCTGACCTTTAAAGCCCTAAACGGCCTCGGTCCTGTATACCTGAAGGAGCGTCTCCACCCCCATCGTTCAGCACGGACACTGAGATCCAGCGCCGAGGGCCTTCTGGCGGTCCCCTCATTGCGAGAAGTGAGGCTACAGGGAACCAGGCAGAGGGCCTTCTCGGTAGTGGCGCCCGCCCTGTGGAACACCCTCCCATCAGATGTCAAAGAGATAAACAACTAGCTGACATTCAGAAGACATATTAAGGCAGCCCTGTTCAGGGAAGTTTTTAATATGTAACGCTGCACTGTTTTTAACACTTGATTGGGAACCGCCCAGAGTGGCTGGGGAAACTCAGCCAGATGGGCGGGGTATAAATAATAAATTATTATTATTATTATTATTATTATTATTATTATTATTATTATATCCTTTTGGACAGGTTGCACCATCCTAAATGAATCTATGCTTCACGTAGATGTTTCTGGGTGACATGGATTCCCTACACTACAGCCATTCCAATCTGGCTTGAGACCTGGATATAGCTTTTGGACTTGGCCACCCTGATTGATTTCCTTTATAGGGAGAGAGATAGAAGGAGGGTTTATTGTCCTTGACCTCTCTGCAGCTTTTGACACCATGTTACCCTCCTGGTGTGACTGTGAGTTGGGTGTTGTGTTGGAGTGGTTCTTGTTACCACATAATAGCACTGGGAAACTCTCGTTTGGCCCCATGTCATTTATGAGGTTGGGTCCTGCAGGGTTCAGTTTTCTCTCCCGATTCAGTTTGACATATATATATATATATATATATATATATATATATATACACACACACACACACACACACACATATATATATATATATATATATATATATATATATATATATATGAATGAATGAATGAAATAACGGATAGGTTTGGAGGACAGGACCATCAGTATGCTGATGACACCTAGCTCTGTCTCTCCATTCAGTCTGAATGAGAAGATGCTGCTGTGCAAGTACTTCACCATTGATGGTCTGGCTAAAGGCTAATAACCTGAAGCTCACAAGGTGATGGTTCTGTGGGTTGGCATCCTGTACTTCATAGCTTTCTCCATAGGGTCGACTCAGAGCTAGCGCAGCTACTCCAGTATGATTAAAAGGCCCATCTAAAATCTGCCAAAAATTTCAGTAAATCAGCTCTGCCTCCTGGTGTACTTGTTCTTCTGTGTGAGTGACAATTACAAAGGAAATCTGGGGGAAGGAAAGGGATGCAAGCTTGCAAATTCTATCTACACAAGTATCTGCATAATGTAATGTAGGGGTGTTATATATTTTTTATTGCAGAACTATATCTCCCTGTGTTATTGTAGTCACTTTTCAAAATTATTCATTTCAAAGGTAACTCAAGCTGCCCCCACCTCCAAGAATGTAATCAACTTGGTGCTCCTGCAGGTGTGAAAGAGGTTTTGAACTGTCAATGGAAGAGGAAGTGAGGCAACTTTTGCCCAGTTCCACTTTCCCTTGCACCACCTTCCATGCTTTTCTGGAACTCTCTGGAACTTATTTTAGAGTCGCCAGGGGCTTCAAATACTAATACACAGCACTGAAACTGCTTTGCAGCCTGATATACATCGAAATCATTTAGCATTCTACTTTGTATTTTGTTGATGTTAGAAGCATCTGGTGGAAAAAATGGGGTATAAACTAAAGAAAACAACACTGGGTTTTGTTGTAGGATAAGCTGATACTGTGAAAAGCAAAGGTGGCATAGAATAGACATTAATTTATCTTAGTTTCTCAGCATAGGGTAGGCATGTGTACATTGTTTACAAGCTACAGGCACCAGCTGATCTGGTGCTTGTCCAGGGATCCACAAATTTTGGCTGGTCTTCATAGCTAGCTGTTACTTGTGGCTGCTCCCATCTCTACCTCTTCCCTGAATACTCTGGTATGTGTACAGGATGTGTCCCTTTGTGAAGGGAGGGGTCAGCTTTGCAGAAAACTCAGAAACAGCAATATTTTCTACCCTCATTGAGTGCTGCAGCCTCCCCCTCCATAATTGATAGGTGGCAATTAGGCTAACCAACTAATTGGTTTTTTTCTTTGTTGTTGTTTAGTCGTTTAGTCATGTCCGACTCTTAGTCATGTCCATGGACCAGAGCACGCCAGGCACTCCTGTCTTCCACTGCCTCCCACAGTTTGGTCAAACTCATGCTGGTAGCTTCGAGAACACTGTCCAACCATCTCGTCCTCTGTCGTCCCCTTCTCCTTGTGCCCTCCATCTTTCCCAACATCAGGGTCTTTGCCAGGGAGTCTTCTCTTCTCATGAGGTGGCCAAAGTATTGGAGCCTCAGCTTCAGGATCTGTCCTTCCAGTGAGCACTCAGGGCTGATTTCCTTCAGAATGGATAGGTTTGATCTTCTTGCAGTCCATGGGACTCTCAAGAGTCTCCTCCAGCACCATAATTCAAAAGCATCAATTCTTCGGCGATCAGCCTTCTTTATGGTCCAGCTCTCACTTCCGGTTTTTTTCGAGGAGACAGAAATGGAAAAAAGAGAGAGCAAAGGAAGGAAGGAGTGAAGAGGAGGAGAAAGAGAAAAGTATATTGGTGGGGAATTAGAAAAGGGGTGGTTCTGCTCACTGGTAGTTTTGGCCTGTTGATAGCCAACTCCATCCCTGCCTACTCCTGATTTTTCACCCCTGTAAAAAGATTACATCCAAGGGCCTTCTGCCCTAAGCATAAAAAAGGTTCCCTTATACACTCAGTACAACCCTGTGCTTCAGGTAAATCAATATATGATTGTAATCCTGTTTCTTTCGGGGGGGGAGGGGAGGGAACCCAGTGCAATTGAAGCATGCATTGGAATGAAATATTCAGATACAGTGCTTACATTTCTAAATACCATTAGCCACTTTGAAGCAGGAAATTCTTTTCAACGCATATGTATAACAAGCGCTTTCCTGCTTCACGCAATTAAAAAATGTATGCCATTTTTGGGGGGGATAGGTATTAATTGTGATGCGGCTTTGAATGAAAGAAAGAAAGGAAATTGCTAAGTATGGGGAGTTATTTCTGTCACTGAATACGCCTTAAGTGAATGAATGACTAGCGCGGCAGTTTTTTCTGGCAGCTGGAATTTCAAAAGAAATTGAGGGGAAGAAAGGTTAGCGATTAGAAAAGAAAGGCCTGACCTCTATTCCAGACTTAAGTAAAAAAGTATGAGAAATACTCCCCTGAACTGCCAAAGCCACCTGTGGATTAGAGGCAGTGGTAGCAGTTAAGCTGTCATTCACGGAAATGGAGGGAAGGCAAGAAAGGTGGTTGTTTGCTTTAAACGTCTTTGGGAGAGGAGGAGGAGGATTTCCATGACAACACATAGCTCAAAAGCATGCAAGCCTCGCAGCCAACTGTAACCAAATAAAATAAAAATGCCTGTTTCTGGAATTCTTGTCAATCTTGGTGGGTTGGGTTTTTCAGCTCAGATACTGAAATTTTCCTGTTACAAGCAAGAAGTGTAGTGGAAGATATTACAAAGTATAGCCAAGCCATCATTTCCAGCCTCGTTTGATCCAGTGTTTAGACAGTATGGCTTAATCCAGACGTCATGGAAGGTCAGTCTCAACAAAAACAGGAGCATGCTGTAGACTCATGTGTGTAACCCTCTAATAAAGGTAAAGGGACCCCTGACCATTAGGTCCAGTCGTGACCGACTCTGGGGTTGCAGCGCTCATCTCGCTTTATTGGCCAAAGGAGCTGGTGTATAGCTTCCGGGTCATGTGGCCAGCATGACTAAGCCGCTTCTGGCAAACCAGAGCAGCACACGGAAATGGCGTTTACCTTCCCGCCAGAGCAGTACCTATTTATCTACTTGCACTATGACGTGCTTTCGAACAGCTAGGTTGGCAGGAGCAGGGACCGAGGAATGGGAGCTCACCCCATTGCGGGGATTCGAACCACCAGCCTTCTGATCGGCAAGTCCTAGGCTTTGTGGTTTAACCCACAGCGCCACCCGCGTCCCTATAACCCTCTAATAGATGTGTGCTTTTTGTAAAGTTCAATGCTGCCAATAACTTCTTTACCATGTGTTGTATAAAACCAAATTCAGAAATGTATCCCATCTCCCTTGCAATACAATAATGGGGGTATCTATTATTATAGAAGTCTCCATTGTTCAAGGAAAAGTCACGGCTGATTCCAACCTTCCTCCAAGCTTTTTACCCTTCAGCAGAGCCATTAGGTGCACTGAGGTGATGGCCACTGCTGAAGAAGTGGTGATGGGTAGAAGGTGGCCATTGTGGCTCTGGACTCTTGCCGCTGCCACAGAAGCAAAGAGAGGTGGTGGCAGCTGGACCCCGGCTTAGGATGGGGGAAGGCAGCATCTTCGCATTTTCTGTCAGGGGAAAAATGGGACGGGCTGCCCCTGCTCTTCAGATGTTGCACACTGCAATAGGAGTCGCTTGCTCAGTGTGGCAGAGTCACAGCGGTAAACTCCTAGCAGCAGCAATGCCGCCACTTACTGGGAAGGCGAGGGGCAAGATTGTGGTGGGATTGGGGCTACATGGTGCATGGGTAGAACCAATTCAATCTTTCCATTGGCATGTTGTACAGACATAATGTTGCTGCAACCTCACCCCTCCTCTTCCCTGCCAAGAGACTTTGGAGTCATCTGCTGGACCTACCACTACTGGGCTACAACTCCCATCATCCCTGGCCATTGGCCACCTTGACTGGGGCTGATAGAAGGTGGAATCGTAGAATTGTAGGGTTGGAAGGGACCGTACGGATCATCTAGTCCAACACCTGCAATGCAAAAATAAGCACACGAGGAGGATCAAACCTACAACCTTGGTGTTATCAACACCATGTTCTTACCAGCTGAGCTATCCCGGTACATACCAATAATATTTGAAGGGTGCTAGACTAGAGAAGGCTTGCTTATTCACTCTTTACCTCTAGGATCCATACTTTTATTTTCTTCTCATGGCCTTGGATATGCTAACTAGGGGGAGATAGAAAGGGAGAGAGATCCACATTATCACTCTGTTCATTCACTTACCAGCTGCTCATGCTCCCACACTGTATATTGACATTTTTCCTCCTCTCTTGTCTCCTTCCTTTTGGATTAAATTTATCTGGTTTAGCTAGCCAAGGTGCTCATTGTTTGTTGAAATACCATTTTCATTAAATAGCAAGTCTGGGAGCAGTCTGTTCAGCTTGACATTGGTAGATGCTTCCCAGATTTTACGGTATACAGATAAGAATTAGGCCACACATACCCCTAATGCCGGAATCTGTTTTGAGCACAAATGCAAGTTACATTTCTGTACATTTTCTTCTTCTTTTCTCTTAGGGTGTATTGCGGATTTCTGTTTTCTTTTCTTTAGAAAGCATCCTGACAAAAACTTGCAATGATTTATATTTTCGTTTCTTTGAAAGGACACTGGTTCCGTTTTTATAATATCTAGATGGCCATCAAGCATGGGGATATTTCTCATATAAATTATTCTGTAATGTCATAGCACAGCACAGAGAATAGCACTCCCATATCTTAACAACGCCTCATCTTTTAATGTACAGGGTAATAAAAAGTGGAAAGATACTGCTATGCATCCTTGGATTTAGTAACTTGCCTTAGGGCAGTGAAAGTTTTTTTCCCTGGGAGAACAGAACAATTCTGCCTCCCCCTTAAATCATTTTGTGACAGATAAATATATGCAGGTTGATGCACCAATATTTTTTTCCCCTTTTGATATTTATCTGTAAAGTAATTATAGCAGCTGCACAGAGCAAAATGACTGCAAATAATGCCGTGTGAAGCCTCCATTTACTGTTTGATGTCTCTTATATAGAAATTGAGTTTTCATTTTTCTACATTTCAAACTAAACATTTTACAAACTTTAAAATATCCAATGACTTCCCTTCTTCTCCTTCCGTGGTTCATATTACATATCACACTTTCCTGCATATTCTACTGTAACCGTTCAAATCAATTTTCCACTTTTACATCAATCCAATATTGTTTACTCTGTTGAATTTATCTTAATGCTGCCAGAGTTTTCAGCTGTGTACAATTATTTTTCATATACAGTGGTACCTCGGTTTCCGAACGTCTCTGTTGACGAACATTTCGGTTTTCGAACACTGTAAACCTGGAAGTAAATGCTTCTGTTTTTGAACATGCCTTGGAAGTTGAACATGCCACGCAGCTTCCGCTGAGTGCAAGATCCTGAGGCCTAGCTGTCAGCTATCGAGTTTTTGGTTTTTGAATGTTTCAGAACTCGAACGGTCTTGCGGAATGGATTACATTCAAAAACCAAGGTACCGCTGTATTCGATAAATATTTTCCACTCTTCTTTAAATATATGTTCTTCTTGCTCTCTTATTCTCAGTGTTAAACCTGCAAGTTCTGCATATTCTAACATCTTAAGTTGCCAATCCTCATTACAACAAAAAGGACTGGGTTTTTATTGGGGGGGAGACATTTTTTTCAACTCATTATAAATCATTCCCCAATATTATTTCACCTTTCTACATGTCCACCACATATGAAAAAAGTTCCTCCCATTTCTTTACATTTCCACCATGTATCTGATTCTGCTTCATACATCTTAGCCAGTCTACTGGGAGTTAAATACCAACTATGAATCATTTTGTGGGACGCGGGTGGCACTGTGGGTTAAACCACAGAACCTAGGGCTTGCCAATCAGAAGGTTGGCAGTTCGAATCCCCACAACGGGGTGAGCTCCCATTGCTCGGTCCCTGCTCCTGCCAACCTAGCAGTTCGAAAGCACGTCAAAGTGCAAGTAGATAAATAGGTACTGCTCCGGCGGGAAGGTAAACGGCATTTCCGTGCGCTGCTCTGGTTCGCCAGAAGCGGCTTAGTCATGCTGGCCACATGACCCGGAAGCTGTATGCCGGCTCCCTCAGCCAATAAAGCAAGATGAGCGCCGCAACCCCAGAGTCGGCCACGACTGGACCTAATGGTCATGGGTCCCTTTACCTTTACCTTTTATGAATCATTTTGAAGTAGTTCTCTTTCAGAGAATAACACACAGTAAATTTCAAATCACTTCTCCAGAGTTTCAGGTCTATATTGTGTCCTATATCTATTGCCCACTGTGTCACTGGTGCTTTAACTAGCTCATCTTTTGTTTCCCGGTCTAATAATGTCTTATATTTTAACCGTCTAATAATGTCTTATATTTTAACTCTCGTTTTGGCTTGCGGTACATTTCAGTACCTAACAAAGCCCGGCATTTAGATTTTCCACAGAACATTGCCTATATTAACCATCACTTGCTTGATTCGGACCATCAACCGGGATCAAGTGTTAGCACTGATCCATCATCCCTCCCCTCTCTTCCCTTCCCCCAGGAGCAGGCTGACCCCAGCACAAAGATCCTGGTTTGTGTAACTTAGAGCAGGGGCAGCCAATGTGGTGCCTTTCAGATCAGCTTCAGCTTCAGCCACTATGGCCATTGATCAGAAAATATCACAGTTATAGTCCAAAACATATGGCAGGCACCATGTTGGCTACCCTGACCTAGGATTTCATGTTGCATCTGAACCAAGGAACACTGGTTTAATATTAGTTAGCAGACTGTTGGTTAACAAACCAGGAAAATCACATCATGTTTTATCTTATGTTTCTGGTTTCTTAACCAACATCAAACCAGAGTTCTTTGGTTTGGATTTAAACGGATGCTGTAGCTTAGTATTTCAGCAACTTTGTGCAGAAGCTGGCATGCGATGGGAGGGGGAAGAAAGGAGGAGAGCTCGGTCCTGATAATGGTTTTTATTTTATTTATTATGAATTAAATTTCTATAGGGGAGAGATGGGGAATGAAATGGCATATCCTGGAAGAGGTCATGGCTAGCTGGCTGGAACCTTGGACAGAAATTGTCCACCTTGCAAACATTTTGTTGCAGGTCCAACTTGTAAAGCCCTATTTCTAACAGGGGAAGAATATTTGAGCCTGAGACATAGCCTCAGTCTCATGCCAGGCACCATAATGTAGGATTGTATTGCCTCAATAGGATTATAGATGGCAAATTGCATAACATCTAATTTATCGAGACACATACAGTATATTAATCAGCAGGGATATTGCAGATTAATATTTGTGGCTATCAAAACTGGAGAGAAGCTTTTCCTTTCCATTCTTTAGCCAATATGCTGCTGTGCTTTTCCTCTTTGTGATTAACCCTCGCTATGGATTAAAAAATAATGGTTTCTAATTCAGTGAATAAACACAGTCATATTTGTGGCTAGGATACTTGATTTCACAATCAAGCATTAAGCTTAAACAATGCTATGAAAAATGTAATTTAAAAATGCTTAGATAAATGGTGTAATATGTAAGCCTTTGGTGCTATTAAAGGAAAACATATTGTTATATATTTAATAATATTTAAGAGAGCCATTGCTGTTGCAGTTAAGACGATGAATACTTTCATTTTGTTCTGATCCTTTGATGTCCATCAAACCAAATGCTGCAACTAAGAGTGAAAATTAAATTTACCACAACTCAAAGCAGCACAAGGCCATGTCTTTAGGAAAAAGCTAATGTACTAATTTTAATATTTGATAAGGAGATTAGGCTGAACAAATTCAAATAAAGCTGCCAGTTAGTCAAGTGAGATATCAATTCTGATAAGTAAAGCAAAAGAACAGCTAAGTGAATAGAGTCCAGCTCTGCACTGCCAATTAAACCTGGTCTTCATATTATGAAAGACACATTTAAAAAAAGCAAAATTGTTCATTGTGTGTCACTCTTTATGTAGCCAAAACCAGTAGGTGAAATAATTCAGTGGCAGACTCTGGTAATAGTAGTGCTTTAAAATGGCAACATTTTGTTCTAGGTCTCACTTGAAGCAGTAAGTAGCACAGCCAGAGAGGGGCTATGGATGGGGCTGGCTTCCCAACACAGCAAGTTGAGAGGGGGACGGATGGGGTGGGTGGGTTCGGGTTGGTGCAGTCCATGGTGCTGGAGCCAATCCAATGCTCCATGCACAGCGCCAAGCTTCCCGTGTCTTGTTGCCCCCTCTCTCAGTTAGTGGCAGCAACCCATGGTGTTGGGAAGCTGGGAGAGCATTTGAACCCCACCTAAACTGCCTTACCACCCACTAATGACTGCAAGGGGGTTTTATGGTGGCCATGAAGCCTCTGGCAGTGGTTGGCTGAGATTCCCTAAAGTTCCTCTTGGAGGGTTTCTGATTGCTATTGCCTAAGCTGCTTCAGTCCTAGAAAGGACATTGGGTAGTTAGAAAGGGTAAAAGGTAAAGGGACCCCTGACCATTAGGTCCAGTTGTGTCTGACTCTGGGGTTGTGGCGCTCATCTTGCTTTATTGGCCGAGGGAGCCGGCATACAGCTTCCGGGTCATGTGGCCAGCATGACTAAGCCTCTTCTGGCGAACCAGAGCAGCGCACGGAAACGCCGTTTACCTTCCCGCCGGAGCAGTACCTATTTATCTACTTGCACTTTGACGTGCTTTCGAACTGTTAGGTTGGCAGGAGCAGGGACTGAGCAACGGGAGCTCACCACGTTGTAGGAATTCAAACCGCCAACCTTCTGATCGGCAAGCCCTAGGCTCTGTGGTTTAACCCACAGCGCCACCCACGTCCCTCCTAGTTAGAAAGGGAGGAAGCAGCAAACCAAGGCAAATGAAAATGACCCTTTGGGTCCCTTCCAACTCTACAATTCTATGACGCTGTGGCCGTCTTACGCTGTCAATATGCCACAAATTTCCTATACAGGTTGCACAGTCTAGTAAAAAAACCGTTGTGGACTTGTACCTTTCGTGGGCATAGTTGCTGAATGTTGTTGCCCATGTTGAGATGTTAACATGGGCAGACACTGAAGAAAGAGGATATCTTAATCATGCAAA